ACGACCGCGCCCATCGGCGCCCCTCCAGCCCGCTGCGGAGCCCTGCCCCGGGCCGTCTAAATAAAATCCCGTTGCGACGGCTGACGCCTGATGGTGTGGGCGCCCATCTCTCCAGCCCCCCCTGCGCACCTCGCCGCCGCCCTGCGCCTGCGCGCGCCCCGCGCGCCCGCCTCCGCGGCCCCGCGGCTCCCCCGCCCAGCCCCGCCCTCCCACTCCACTCCCGGCACCCGGTGCCCAACCTTCGGCCCCACGTTGCCCGCAGAAGACGCCTTTTCCCAGCCGCGGCCCCCACGGGCTTCCGAACGCGCGACGGCTGGAGGCTGATTCGAGGCCGGAAACGCGCGAGGCCCCTGCCGACCCTGGGCCTGGGTGGGAGCCAGCGGAGGACGCGCTACGGCCCTGTGGAGCCTGGGAGGGCCGGGAGGAGGGGCAGGCGGCTCTTCTGGGATGCCGCAGCCCAGGCGCTCCAGCCGCGCCTGCCAGGTATCCTGCCCTGGGCCTCAGTCTCCCCAGATGTCAGAACGAAGATGCGGCCCAGCTGGGCAGATGGTAGCGACAACTCGGTGAGATAACAGCCCCAACACTTCCCAGCAACTGACGATGGCTCATGTGATTGATTCCAGGCCCACCCTCAGCAAGGCTCAGCTGGGATCTGCGCCAGGCTGCAGAACGCACAGGACCTCCCACTCGCCACCGTACCCCCAGTGCCCCACCCCACCAACAACCAGAATCACTTCTCAGACTGAAAAACGCGAATCCAGCCAGGCGCGGTGGCTCACGCCGTGTAACCCCAGCACTTTGGGAGCTAGGCGGCGGTCTTGAGGTCAGGAGTTTGAGACCAGCCTGGCCAACACAGTGAAACCCTGTCTCTACTAAAAAAAAAAAAAAAAAAGGCTGGCGGGTGGCGGGTGCCTGTGAATCCAGCTGCTCAGGAGGCTGAGGCAGGAGAATAACTTGAACCCAGGAGGCAGAAGTTGCAGTGGCCAAGATTGAGCACTACAATCCAACTGGGCGACAGAACGAGACCATGTCTTAAAAAAAAAGCAAGAACAAACAAAAAGCGACGACCGAACGCGCGCGCCACGCGCTGTGTAGCGCAGCATCTTTGGGAGGCCGTGTGGGAGGATTCATGAGGGTCAGAGATTGAATGACCATCTGTGGCATACATGGAGTGAAACCCCGCTCTTACTAATAAAAAAAATGGCAAAAAGTATTACCAGGCGAGGTGGCGCGGGCGCCTATTAGTCCCAGTGGTGCTCCTGGGAGGCTGAGCAGCGGAGAATGATGCCCCGACGAGTCTGAGAGTGTCCCTTGGCCTCAGTCTCTCCTGTTAAATGGGAGGGGGTCCCACCGGACGTAGGGAACACGCAAGCTGTTTCTCCCCTGCTCTCACCACCACGTCACAGTCGTCCACACAGAAAAGGCTTCTGTGACCGCACATGGGAGCGACGGACGCCAGCTGGGTGTCCTCTTAATTCAGCTCCAACACCTTCTACCCAAAGATAGCGTCAGTCCCCACAGGTCGAGGGCTCAGTCCCCAAGCCTGCTCCCTCTTCAGACACCAGTTGCCAATCTGGGCTTCTAGGACTTCTGGCTGACCGGGCTCGATCTGGGGTTCCCACCACCCCTTTGGATTTGATTTGCTGGAGCAGCTCACGGAACTCGGAAACACTTGTGTTTCGTGGTTTACTATAAAGGATGTGGCAAAAGATAACAGAGGAAGGGACACACAGGGAGGTATGGGTAGGGCTTCCAGTGCCGTGAGGACGCGCAGGGCGCCATCTCGGAGCTTCCAGGCATCTCCACGTGTTCAGGTCTTGGAAGCTCCCCAGAACCCAGTTCTCTAGGGTTTTGTGGGGTTTTGTTTGTTTGTTTGCTTGTTTGTTTTTGAGACAGTCTTGCTCTGCCGCCCAGGCTGGAGTGCAGTGGCACGATCTCGGCTCACTGCAACTTCCACCTCCCTGATTCAAGCGATTCTTCTGGCTCAGCCTCCCGAGTAGCTGGGACTACAGGCGCCCGCCACCTCGCCCGGCTAGTTTTTTGTAGAGATGGAGTTTCAACATACTGGCCAGGATGGTCTCGATCTCCTGACCCCGTGATCCGCCCGTCTCGGCCTCCCAAAGTGCTGGGATTACAGGCTTGAGCCACCGCGCCTGGCCTGCTTGTTTTTGAGACAGAGTCTTGCTCTGCCGCCCAGGCTGGAGTAGAGTGGCACGATCTCGGCTCACTGCAACCTCCACCTCCCTGGTTCAAGCGATTCTTCTTGGCTCAGCCTCCTGAGTAGCTGGAATTATAGGCGCCCGCCATCACACCCCGCTAACCTTTGTATTTTGAGTAGAGATGGGGTTTCACCGTGTTGACCAGGCTGGTCTCAAGCTCCCGACCTCGGTGATCCGCCCGCCTCGGTTTCCCAAGGTGCTGGGATTACAGGCGTGAGCCGCAGCGCCTGGCCCACAGTAATGTTTCCACTCCCCGCTCCAGAGGCAGATGGAGAGATGGAACCCGCATCCCCTCTGGGACTGGAGCTCCTTCCAAGGCTGGGTCACAGCAGGGCCACAGCAGGACGCTCACCCTCTGGACGGGGCACCAGCTCTGGTGCCTGCGCTGACGGGCTCCTGCTGTGCAGACTCAGGAGCCGAATAAATGACAGTTGTGGTGGTAGGCTACTAAACTTGGGGTGACATGTTATGCAGCAATGGGCAATAAATATTAATGAAAGGTGCCCACTCCATCCATAGCTGCTGTTAGGCTATGACAGGAGCCACTTACAGGTCATATGCCAGAGCATTTTGGGTGAGCCTGGGCTGGGGGCTGAGCAGCAGGACACAGAACACAGGAGAGGCCCCTGTCCTCCCAAAGCCCAGAGCCAGGCAGGCTGAGGTCAGCTTAAATCCTGGATACCGGGACGGGGACGCAGGCCACAGAGGCCTCCAGGAGTAACCAATCAGAGGACACCAAAGCTGGCCCCAGGGTGCAGCTCACGCTCCACCCCGGTCCCTTCAGGCCAAGGCCGACCAAAACCCACCTCCCCTGCCCTTCCCAGCTCCCCCGGGCCTCCCCGATCCCTGACCCTGTGCCGCCTGTTGCGCCTGCCCTCAGGTCCTGCGGGCCCTGTCTGTCCGGATCCTGACGTGACCCTCGCCAGCGCAGCCGGGAAGCTGACCCGTCCTCCCTGGCCTCTCAGCAGCGTAGAGCACAGCAACCCCCTCTGGCAACACCCACAGCTCCTGCCCCACCCACAGCCCCCTTGGAGGCTTCCTCTCTCTCTCCTCCCCTCCTGGTGGCTCCGTCCACGGCCTCCCCTCCTCCCGAGGGTCCCCCTCCCCTCCTGGTGGCTCCGTCCACGGCCTCCCCTCCTCCCGAGGGTCCTCCTCCCCTCCTG